GTATATTTGTGTTCTTTTGTAAAGTATTCTTTTGTGTTACTGCATTAAATATTATCGATCCTACAATTCGCAATTACTTCTTATCCCACATAATTTATGGGGGCTCGTCCGGGATCAAGTTAAACGGATCGTAGCAGATCGACTATACATCGCAGTTAAAGTGAAGGGTAACTGTGTGTTATCAATATCATCTGAGCGTTGTGAATTCTGCGACAGTTAGAGACGAAACTTCAACATGAAGACTGTCAATGACTTTTCAATACAAATGCTGAAGGAGAAGTGCAAGTTTTACGGAATAACTTCAAATGGGACAGAGGCCGACTTATTTGGCAGACTCATGGAAAAATTTCCCGCAGGCGAATGGATGTGTGACAGCGAAGAACGAGATGTTGAAACCTGTGTCTCGTGAACCTGTATCTCGTGAAAATGTTATAGCTTCCGAGGCAGCAGCGATGCAGAGCGATCAACGTGAGTTGTATTTTATAAAAAAGCAAGCAGAGTTAGCCGAGCGAGAGCTTGCGCTCGCGCAGCGCGAAATAAAGCTATTACGGAGTCGCAACCCTGAAGACGATCGTTCATCAAGATATCGACGAGAAGTAGTCTGACAGACCGATCGGAAATGAGCATTACATCTATCGCAAGCTTACTGGATTACTTCCATGGAAGTAGTGACTCCTACGAGAAGTGGGAGAGGCAGGTGCGATTGCTAAAAACGATATACAAGCTTAACGACAACGAAGCGAAGGTTTTGATGGGTTTGAGACTTAAAGAAAAAGCGATGAGTGGTTTCATTTAAAACCGGAATTAATAGAACTGGATTTCGAGAATTTCTTGTGTCAGTTAAGAGCAATGTTCTTCCATAGGCCGAGCAAGCTAGTACGACGCAAGAAGTTTGAGAAACGCATGTGAGGCGAGCTCTTCAGCGAATATTTCCACGAGAAAACCATTTTAGCGAACCGTGTACCTATAGATCATGATGAAATGGTTGATTATCTGGTTGAAGGGATTCCAAATACTTCTCTTCGCGATCAAGCGAGAATCCAGAGGTTTGATACACCAGTTTCTCTTTTGGATGCATTCGGCAAAATAACATTGCGGAAGACAGAAAGCGGTACACCAAAAGACAACGATAAGAAACGATTCGTCGGATCTAGCATAGAAGGAAGTACAACCATGACGCGTAAGGACAACAGCAAGAAACGATGCCATTCCTGTGGTTCGATAGCACATCTAGCTGCAGACTGTCCAACGAAAGACAAAGGCATGAAATGTTTTGAATGTCGTGAATATGGACACATTGCGTTGCGATGCCCGAAGAAACAATCAACGCCGGAAGACGCTTGCTGTGTTACGAAATCCGCAAATAGCAGGTATCACAAGAAAGTTACGATAAACGGATTCGAGATCACCGCGTTGATAGATATGGGCAGTGATTTATCTATTATTAACACTCTGCATAAAGGTGTTTGATAGCTGATCATGCAGACGAAAGTTGGAGATAGATTGGGTGTAGCCGAGAAGAAAAGTCATGTACCATAATGTCAAATTGGCAATAGTTACCGAGTTATTAATTAAAACATGTGAGCCAACGAGCGCGTAGAGAGCGGAGGGCGGCCGCAGTAAGCACGTAGACATTTGATACAGGCGGAGTCAGCGAGTGACGATAGGCAAGCGCGCGCAGCGAGGGGCAACGTAAGCGACAAGAGGCGATCGCGCGCGACGAGGAGCGAGCGAGCTTTTTCTTTATAGCTTTTTCCTTATAGCTCGCTCGCTCCTCGTCGTTCGCGCTCGCTCGCTCTTCGTCGCGCTCGCTCGCCTCTTGTCGCTTGCGCTCGCTCGCTCCTCGTCGCGCGCGCCCGCCTCTTGTCGTTTACATTGCCCCTCGCCGCGCGCGCTCGCCTATCGTCACTCGCTGACTCCGCCTGTATCAAATATCTATATGCTTACTGCGGCCGCCCTCCGCTCTCTACGCGCTCGTTGGCTCACATGTTTTAATTAATAACTCGGTAACTATTGCCAATTTGACATTATGGTACATGACTTTTCTTCTCGGCTACACCCAATCTATCTCCAACTTTCGTCTGCATGATCAGCTATCAAACACCCTGTATATTGTTGTATCCGAGCCACAAAGTTTGTGGCGGCGTTCGTTGTCCGCGAGCCTTAGGCATCTGATGCTGATTTTGACAACTGAGCAAGGATTGTCCTGACGACGGAAAATCGATAAGAAGAAAATAACAACAACAACTGATAGAGAGTTTCTGGCAAGCTGTCACCGTTGATAGACGCGAGTTTTGTAAAACAGAGAGTTATTCCTGTAAAAAAGCTTGAAAGAACGGTGCTGTAAATAGTAAAGCTTCTTAGTTGTTACGCGGGTGTTTTCATTCACCCGAGTGCAAGCGTGAGTGCGAGAGTGAGCGCTACAATATTATAAATTTTGGACGGCCGGATTGCATAATCTGGCTGTGTAAGGTCCTCAGGGATAGTTCAAGGAAGATGCTATAACAGTTTAGCAATTATACGTATCGTTAACGAGGCGAAATTTTGCATCTCGTAAAATAATTTTTGGAGTGATTCGATGCGATGCTTGGTACAGCGGACTCATTTATTTTTCATAAACTTTGGACGGCCAGATTGCAAAATCTAGCCCTGTAGGGACCTCGATAATAGTTCACGGAATATTCCATATCAATTAGGCGGTTACATATATCCGAGGCGGTTACATATATCAACGAGGCGGAATATCTCTTTTTGTGAAAATGTATTCGCGTCATCCGCCTTGACGCTTGGTGCATCTTTATTTATTTATGATAAAAGTTAGACGACCTGATTGCGAAATCTGGCATTGTAGAGACCTCGAAATAGATCCAGAAATATGTTGTAACAATTTGGTGGTAATATATGAGTGCAACGAGGCAAAATATCTTTTCTTGTAACATGTATTTCGCGGGATTCGCTGCGATGTTTCGTACGACGCTCGCTTTATTAAAATATTATAAATTTTTACGGCTGGATTGCAAAATCTGGCTCTGTAGGGACTTCGATAATAGTTCAAGGAATATTCCATATAAATTTGGCGGTTAAATATATCGCCAACGAGGTGGATCTCTTCTTGTAAAATGGTATTGTACGTGATCCGCTCCGATACTTCATACATATTTATTTATTTATAATACATTTTTCACGGCCTGACTGCAAAATCTGGCTCTGTAGGTTTCTCGGGGTTAGTTCAAAGAAGATGCTATAACAATTTGGCGGTTAAATATATCGTCAACGAGATGAAATTTTGCATCTCCTACAATCATTTCTCGACTAATTCGCTCCAACGCCTGGTACGACGAATGGCTTTATTTATATATTATAAATTTTTGACGACCGAATTGCAAAATCTGGCTTTGTATCGATCTCGGAAATAGTACGAAGAAGATGTTGCAACAATTTGATAATAATACGTATCGTCAAAGAGACGAAATATTGCATCTCGTAAAATGATATTTCGAGTGACTCGCAGCGATGCTTGATACGGCGGATGCTTTATTAATGTATGATAAATTTTTGACAGCCGGATTGCAAAATTTGGCTCTGTAGGGACCTCAATAATAGTTCAAGGAATATTCCATATCAATTTGGTAGTTACATATATCGTCAACGTGGCAAAATGTCTTATGTTTTAAAGTGAAAGCTGAAAAGTATTCATACGCATACACACAGCAATACTTATGCACTCATATATACGCTAATACTAATGCATTGCTCGCACGAACGCAAGGCAGTAAGGTTAGGTCATATAGATTGCACTATAGTGCAACTGGGCTACACTTTCCATGTTATCTACACTTACAAATTTTGCCACTCATACATCATATTTGTTTATCAGACATAGATGGACATCTTCCTTATATTAATATCTAGGGTCGTACAGAGCCCGATTTTGCATTTAGGTTCTTGAAAATTTGTAACAAATGAAAATATAGGTTCGTGCTGCACCGCGGGATGAACGTTCATTCAAATTATTTAATCGATTTTTATTTCGACTTTTTTTCCAAAAAAGCGCTCTGTACGACGCTGCGGACGTTCTCCTGATTGCAAATATCATACATATTCTCTTCGTATTTTGTTCATAATTTGCAATATAATTTTGCCTAGTTCGCTGGTCTCCGCGAGAGGTCTCTAATGTGGCTCCTGCAGACCCTTAATTCATGTTAAAGTTTTCATTTTGGTGAAAAGTTTCACTTTTTCACGGGTTCACACTAGGGGAAAAGATTCATGATCGACTCCCAGGACATCTCTTGGATGTTTTCTGAACATATTTGCTATCAAGGATGTACGGTGCAGTTAGGGTAAAATATTAAATAAAACCTTTATTTTCATAAATAAATAATGATACTTATAAATAATAACGTATACTAATAAGATTTTAATATAATTTTCATATTTTATTTCATTATTGGTTAAAATGTAAGAAATGGAACAAATACAAGGTGGTTCAAGTATGAATTTAATTTAATTAAGTAATTTTGTGTATGTGTGTGATAAGATATATATATTCAATATAATATAAAATAATATTTACCCATAATTTCTTTTAAATTCATATGAATTTTCACTCACTTTACCACTCATTAATAATATTAGCAAGAACATAGACACCCTAAAACTAGAGAACGTACACACGTCATTATATAAACTGCCTCGTAAAGGTTAGAAAATAGATATAGAAAGAGCTATGAAGGTCTTTCTATTTCCAGCACTTCGGATGACAACCGAAACAGCCCGATGATGCACGATTCTACTTACATAGTTACTTCCTTTATATAGACAAGAAATTTCTTTCTATTTCTTCGTCCATCATTTTACGTAGTTCCATGGCAGATGAATGTCAATTTCCTTGCGAGAAGATAAGTAAGTTTAATCGATTAATCGGTAAGTCGATTCTTTTTTAGAAAATAATTGAAGTCATTTCAACTTTTTTTTATTAATCGATATTTTAAACATCGATATATTTTCGAACATCGCCCATCCCTACCTTCCTGACGTTGGCAACCGGTCTCGAGTGGCGCTATCTAACGACGAAAACACGCATCAAAGTACGCGTTCTGTGTGCGCGTTGGTTTTCAATAGTGGTGCTTGCATCTCGCCGCTCCGCTTCGTGAGATTGAGAGTGCTAGTGTATACGAGAGTCGAGTGCAACAACTGACAAAATGAAGATGGCGGACGGACCCACAATCCTGCGAAGGAACAGGCCCGGGACCAAAGCAGAGGTTATTAAAATCGTTTTCGTTCCGTTCGTAAATCCTCACACTAGCATCCCATCCGGGCGGCGTTCATCCGCCTGAAAATTCACCGCTATGTCGACCGCTATCCCCTCGGAGATCTTACGACACTTCCTCCCTCCTTGACATTTGCCCGATGAAAATCAATGACCGTGAGATAAACCCTGAAAGACACCGTTTTACAATACAAGAATGGATATGATCTCCACTGAGATAATTCCCACTGTAATCATAAATATTGTTTGCGATATATTTCACAATTTTTCATAATTAAATAGCACCTCATGGCCTTAGCCGAAGCGTGATGAATTTGACAGATCGTTTTGTTTTGTTTCGTTTTGTATATTTCTGCACGAATTGTTCTCACCGATTATTGGTATGTTATCTTCATATTTTCACTGATCATTGAAATATAATATGTAAAATATGAGATTTGTGTAGAGTCTCTTTATATTTTATATATCAGGATTATTTTTACATCACGATAAACTATATGATGAAGAGAAGCGCGATCGATTATTTAATGACGCACGTTGACGTAAGCGCAAATTGTTTACCGCGTTTATATTGAGTCTTCCCTTTCCTCTTTTATAGGACTTCAGTAGGTGGCCTGATGAACCGTTCGAGGAAATGGATAGCACACTTGCTGTACAACAATATATTCAACAGATGATTAGAAGAGATCCATCTAATATTGATTTAATACTTAATATGCCTGAAGCTAACGATGAAGGGGTGTGGAAGTATGAACATCTTAGGCAGTTCTGTATGGAGCTTAACGGTTTGGCTGTAAGATTACAAGAAGAATGTCATCCTGAGACGTGTACACAGATGACAGCTACAGAACAATGGATATTTTTATGTGCTGCACATAAAACTCCCAAAGAATGTCCTGCCATTGATTACACTCGACATACACTGGATGGAGCAGCATGTTTACTAAACAGCAACAAGTATTTTCCCAGCAGGTTTGTCACTGCTTCTTGCTGAATCGTTACATTTATTAATATGCTTCTACTTTCAGAAAAAAGGAAATAGCACAATTTGTCATTGGATAAGTATTATATGAATTTTTGTGTGAGATCTAAATTTCTTTTACAGAATCAGTATCAAGGAATCTTCTGTTGCCAAACTGGGCTCTGTCTGCCGTCGAGTCTACAGAATCTTCTCTCATGCATACTTCCACCATAGAACAATATTTGACGAATTCGAGAATGAAACTTTTCTTTGCCGCAGGTAACGTTTTAGTTCAATAATGCTCCATCCATTGTCTGACCATATTGTAAGAGAAAAACTATATTGAATATTTTCCACTTCAGATTTACTGCATTTGTAACAAAATACAATCTGATGTCAAAGGATAATTTGATAGTACCTATTATGGAAGGCGATGGTGCAACAGAGAGCGAAGCATAGGATCTAACGATGCGGTCGTATTGTCCAAAGTCTAATTGCCACATTTAGTAAGAGGACCTGCTAATATTCACACACGTTATTCCATATGGGGTCAGTAAAAATTTACTCTTGTTTGAATAGTGCGAGTTTTTTACGATCATATATTTGTCTCCGACATTGAATGGGAAATTCTCGACGAATAATTTAATAATTATCAGTAACAGTTTCTCGTTAGTTTCCCGTGGTTCAACTTGATGGATGTAACGTAAAGTATTTCTCGCGTACCTTTATAATGCGTATTTTTCATGGTTGCTTGTCTCCTTCAGTGTTACAAATCTCCGAACAGTCGTTGAAACATGATATGAAAATTCATGAAAACTATTGTCGAGTTTTCGAGGACACGCTATATGCTAATTTAAAGTATGTTAATAATATATCACGTTTGAAATAGTACGATGTTACAAAACTTTTAACCTTATGCTGTCGAAGTTACTACTGGCCACTTCCTGTGGAGGAAAGTTACCTCCCTCATTCTACATTTTGGACGTGTAACATTTAGATGATCCTAAGTCTCTTCTGTGAAAAGACTATGTCTCTATATATTGAAAATGGATGTAATGGAACAATATATTGTATAATTCATAACTCATTTATATTTAGTTACATAATTTAACGATTCTTTCTTGTAATTTTTGAAAGTGCATTCATAACGTTATTTTTCGTCTCATGTACGATATCCTGAAAATTATATACTCGCGATATTTATCAACTTTGTATGTGCGCATCACTAATGTCACGGATTATGATTACAATCTGCATCTACATCGAGGTGAGAACATTTCTCCAATCTGAAGAGTGAAAAATTATATAGACAAATTTCTTTTGACGTTCCATATGTTGATTTTGTTAGCTGATGTAAAGATTCAGTTAGATCAAGGACGTATCTCTAATTAGGTATATCATTTTATACACTACTCGTAAAAAAAAAAAGTTTTCACAAAACGAAACATCTACAAGTCTTTCAGCATGAACATGTTAACGAGAGACCGTACTTTTCACGTAATTACTTTTTTACTATGAGATTTAAGAAAACTAGTTTTAAATCATGATTCTTACGAACGTTATAAACGTGTTGAAACGGCTCGATGAAATAAGATCTCATTACATAGACGAGCTTGAAAGCTTCGAACGTTTGTTGTCAAAGTGTATAATTAATGAGATTAAGGTAGAGAGAAAAAAAGGAAGAACGCGAATTTATAAATAATGGTAGAATTTTACATTATGTTACTGTAAGGATAAAAGTATTGATTTAGAACGATTGTAGTAATTGTCATCTTGTAATTGATCTTTGTAAAATCTATTATCAGCGACAGATATAGCGATGAATGTGCTAGCGTACTGTTATTTATAATTTACACACGTATATAGCGTATTATTATTTATAATCTATACACCCATACATGCACACACATACACGCATGCACATACACACACACACATGCACATACATGCGCACACACACACACACACACAACACACACACACACATATATATCCAGTACAGCAATATGTGAATTGAGCAGGATGCCAGGATGTTCTCCTATCTCGCGCGGTGGTGATTGTCGGTGAAATTTTATATTTCACTGTGGAAGACTTTCAGACAAATCGTTGTTTTACATAATCGTAAGCTATAAGCTATCGCTAGTGAACTTAACGCAAGCACGAACGTCGTTTTTTCTTTTCTTTTGTAAACGAATGACGTAGTTTCTCAATGTAAGATAACGTCTAAGCGAGCGTTCATAAGAAAAGCGATTCCATAATTAAGAGAAATAGTGTTTGCAAAGTCCGATCTTATGGCAGTGAATAGAAAATAGTATGGCGACGAATGGCGATATCGATAACATATTCATTGTAACATTCTCTCATCCTGTAGAAAGTACTGAATTCGCACTAGCACACTACATACAACACACATACACACACGTACGCACGCGCGTTCCGAGATCTTGACATGATTTTACCGAAATGTGCAGCAGTTACGAGTCAATCGGAAACCCAATTCGTAATTCACGCACCGACGTATGAATGAGACATGAAAGTTGTACTGCTCTAGTACGCTTCCGGCAATGAGATTCTAAATAGCCGACTTTTGGCTGTTGTAAATCGCGCGTTTCGAGCAATTACGCTCTCCTTTTCGTATCCGAAATGCAATGGGAAGGATATTGTAATACTGTACATAGAACTTGTAAATACAAAGAAGAAAAAGGAGAAATTCGAGATAATACATTGATGAATACGTCGAATCGACATAATAGGAATATGATATGTATATGATATGTGTGACTATATATTACGTGACAATTGTCTATGTATTGATAGAGAATAAACTTTCTACACACAATTAGTTTTTTCATATTTTCCCTTTTCTCACAGTTATGTCGAGTACGTTTATCGGCAATAAAACAGTACAACAATATGTAAATGTAAAATTGTATATATAATATGTAATATGTAATATGTAAAATTGTAAATTTTAATATTTCCATTAAATACATTACTTTTTTACATATGTTAAATTTCAAGAAGACTTTGATTATTATTAATTGTCACAAAGTTCTCAACAAAAGTATCAAAATCGAACAGATTAAAATTTGATGCTGGGAAGATTGGTCTGGAGAAGGAGAAAGAAAGAAGGAAGGAGGGAGAGAGAGAGAAAGAGATTTTCTGTTAGTAAAATCTATTTTCAATATTTGCAAATCATATTACGCTTCGAGAAAATTGGCACTATTTATATAAATATTGTCTAAACTGCGAGTTAATTTGTACAGTTATCCATCAGGATCTGCTCTTTTTATTTTTTCTCAAGAATGAGTCCGCTTGCGTATCTCTTGGCCTTTTCTGTCCAATTCTCAGTCCCATCGCAGAAAATTGCTCCGTATCGATGCGGGCCATATGATTGGCGTTTCCTGCTTTAGTGTTCGTTTTCGAATTCGCTGCATCTTCTTTCTCCAGAAATTCCCCACAATCTCCGGGTGCTTGATATCTAAAATATATATTTATATGTTAATTACTACGATAACAGAATGTCAAGGATTTTTCAGTCAATATTTCAATTGTTCAGTTATATTAACGACAAAATAACGTATAAAATTAATTGATGAGTTCATATTTAAATTTTTTCTTAATTTTTCTTATTACTGATAATTTTGTCCAATCTTCTATGATAGTGAAGTTACATTTGATTGAAGTTCCGTATCCGACTTTAATCAGTCCGATTTTAATGAAATTTTTAATGAAATTTTACAAGCACATTTATTAAAAATGCAGCAAATGTAATCTCTCGAATATGCGAATATGCGGAAACGTTTAGTTTCCGAGATATATAACTTTTAATTATGTGACTCAATTTTTGAGATTCTCATGTAAAAAAAGATTAGAATTCAAAAATATTTTGCGAAAATATTTCATTTTATTAATGTCTTACAAGATCATAAATACCAATGTATCAAAATATTATTATCAATATTATTATCAATATTATTATCAATATTATTATTATCAAGAAAAAAAACAAAAGAAATTAAAAAAATTTTTGTCTTATGTCTTTGAATGTAATTAGCAATAATAATAGCTGAAAATTAACGTCTAGCTCATATTTTCTGATATTTCGGATACAAAAACGAGGTCATAATTGTAGTTTTATATGAGTTTGTAACTTTTCGAGTGATAAACTTTTTGAAGTGATAAATTTATCAATGTAGGAGGGCAACAAATTTGAATGTCATGTGAAAGAAAAAAAAAGTTTAATTTAATTCAAGTTACGATAATTTAGTTTAAGTTAAATTAATTTATATTAAAAAAGAAAATGAGTTCTTTTGATTTTTTGTTTTTTTCCTCTTGATAATGATACGTCGATATACTAGTGTTTATAATTTTGCAAGACATTAAAATAAAACATTTCAAACAAAATAACATATTTCAAAAAAAAAATTTTTGAATTCTAGTCTTCCTACGCGAAAATTTCAAAAACTGTCTATTGAGCTGTATAATTAAATTGAATTAAATTAAAAATTAGACTCGCACTTATGATATTCGATTACACTTAGTAAGTGCTTATAAATTTTTATTAAAATCAAACTAAGATCGAAGACTAAACTACCCTACGTTCCTTTTAAGAGGCGAAAAATAAACTTTCAAATTTTTTAAATATTTGAGATAAAAAATTAAACAAGACCCGTATATAATTTTTTCTGTTGATTTTTTAATAATCGTACAAGTTGATTATTCAACTGTTTAAGTGTCAAGGCATTGCAAAAATCATATCGATTAGCGCCACGCATCGCAATAGCGCTTGTTTAATATGATTTCGAAGAGCGCAGTTGCACTTTCTCGACTTGATTTTCCTTGAAAAATGCTAAGTTGCACGATCGCATTTGTTTCTTATAATGAAAATTATAGATGTATATGATTTTTGTTCAACTTAAGAAAAAGAAATGATCAAGAGAGTAAGCTTCAGTAAAGCTAACGACGCATTATAATAAAATCCATCAATTGCGCATTGTGGCTAGATGTGACATATTTTGGTACAAAATATGAACAGAGCGGTCACGATTAACTCAAATGGTTAAATAAATCTTACCCAAGCTCGGTTGTGTCTTTGACATTCTTAGTCAACAAGATGTGAATTTCCGGTATTTGATGAATTTCGTCGGTTGCGTCTCCCTTCGATCCCTTCGACCTCCTGAAATCGATCGATGAATTAGAAATTGATATTGGATTGATATTGGAGTCTATGAACGGTCATTTGCTTCACTTACTTGGTGTAACGCAACTTTGTGACTTGGTGAAGATCCTCGTGCCTCCTCTTGAAGAGTTCTGCGCAGGAAATGGTTTTCCCAATGGCTTGCCCGACGCCGGTCCAGACGACGCTATCATAATTGGGAAATTCTTTCAACGCGTAGCCAAGGACGTTTCTAATCTTGGTGCCGCTCTTCACCTTCAATCGGATGTCACGTGAATAAAATGGAGTAACGTCGTGGGAATTTGAAGACCTCAAAGACTTACGTGCATGCAGATAAATTTTTCCGGCAAATTCTTTATCGGTATCGTTGTGCTCTTTGTATCAGTTGACTCTTCTCTCGATTCTTCAAGTTTCAGTTTCTTCTTCAACCTTGATCTCCCCATCTGGAACAGAATAAGAACAAATTTTATGTGCAAACCTATTCGTCGAGCAATTGTTTGAGTGTTTGTCAAATGTGGACGATTTCACTTTATCCATAACTCATCGGAGAATGATCGATGCAATTATACAATTAATTAATTTTATATTTTAAAAAAATTTAGTTTAATTTATTTTCTTATATAAATAAAGTAAGTATATAAAATAAAAAGATCAAAGTGACCTATGTTTGATCTTATTAGGAGCAAACATTAAAAACTCTATATAGGCTGCTAAATTTCAAACATAACAGGTAAAAAATCTCGAAAACTATGAAAGATATCAAAAACAGCTAAAATACGTGTTCCATGATTTCGAAGGAGAAAGAGAATGGCATTATCAGATTTTTATTTGGAGGGCACTTTCAAGGTCAACTTAATTTTTTAAAATAGAAAGCTCAATTTTTTATTATATCTTCTATTTCTACCAATTAATTTTAACAACTTTTGTCTGAAACATTTTTTTATTTGCTTAATATTTTTTGAAATATTTAAGAAAATCTTAGTAACTTTTTCAACATTTAACTTACGATATCTCGCTGACTATCGAAAGAAAAAATAGTATTAGACTTTTTATTTTATTTACTATCAAGAATATATTACTATTATATAATAGTACCTTAACTTTTGTTAATTTAATAATTTTGAAATTTCCAAAGGTCGATGAGTTAACAAAAGTTAAGGCACTATTATAATAATATATTCTTGATAGTAAATAAAGTAAAAAAGTCTAACACTATTTTTTCTTTCGACGAATAGTTAGCGAGATATCGTAAGTTAAATATTAAAAAAGTTACCAAATTTCCCTTAAATATTTCAAAAAATATTAGGCAAATAAAAAAATGTTTCAGACAAAAGTTGTTAAAATTAATTAGTAGAAAAAGAAGATGTAATAAAAAATTGGGCTTTCTATTTAAAAAAATTAAGTCGACCTTGAAAATGCCCTCCAAATAAAAAACTGATAATGCCATTCTCTTTCCTCTTCGAAATCATAGAATATGTGTTTTAGCTTTTTTTAATATCTTTCATAGTTTTCTAGATTTTTACCTGTTACATTTGAAATTTAGCACCTTGTATATAATCCAGGCTTCCATTTTATTATGAGCTATTTAACATTAAGCGTTGAAAAGTTGTGTGAATCGATTTTTCGCGGAAAATAGACTCGGAACCTCGTGTTATTCAAAAACACCTCCTCACATGACGCGTGGACGTGAGAACATGTGAACGTCACACATAGAATCAGAAGAGAGAGAGAGAGAGAGAGAGAGAGAGAGAGAGAGAGGAGAGAGAGGGAGAGAGAGAGAGGGAGAGAGAGGAGAGAGAGAGGAGAGAGAGAGGAGAGAGAGGAGAGAGAGAGGAGAGAGAGAGGAGAGAGAGAGAGGAGAGAGAGAGAGAGGAGAGAGAGAGAGAGGAGAGAGAGAGAGAGGAGAGAGAGAGAGGAGAGAGAGAGAGAAGAGAGAGAGAGAGGAGAGAGAGAGAGGAGAGAGAGAGAGGAGAGAGAGAGAGGAGAGAGAGAGAGAGAGGTCTTTTCGCCCGATATAAAGTCAGCGTATTGTTAATGGGGCGTAATTTTAGAAATAGTTCGACCGTCCTGGAAATTGAAGCAAGCGGCAACAGCGGCGGCGGTAAGGGCGGAGGAGTGTTTGGACAGCACGTCTCTCTACCAGTAGGTCATGGGTTCACAAGCATCGTCGCTTCGGCGTGCCATCGCCGGGAACCATTCATGGAACTTGCAGCGACCTTGTACAGTCATACGCAGAAATATCTCGTCGATTTTGGCATTCATTCGCGACGAACCTGCGGTGTGATACAGAGCGCCCGCTCGAGATCCCGAACGCCTCCTTGGAGCCTTCGTCGCGCCAGAAACTCGTAGATCTTGCGGGTGCAATTACACGAACTTGATATATTGGGTATTAAACTTAATTTTAACGGATTTACAAGAGATGGCGCAATGAACACCTAATGGCCCATACTGAAGCCAACTTCATATGAAAGCCCTGTGATTAGGCTTTAAGAATCAGTATATTTCATTTCATCGAAGTGTAAATAACATATTTTTTTAGCGCATTCAATATGTTGTCGGGTTTTATGCCAACGAAACACAATTTGCGGTAAGCGTCACTTTTGTTTCCATTTGAAAAAATCGGCAGCTGAAAGTCTTCGTTTGCTGTCTGAAGCTTATGGGGATTATGGTCCATCGATCTCAACTTGTGAGTACTGGTTTAGACGATTCAAAAGTGGAGATTTTCCACTTATCCATCTTTCGAAAGTAATGCTCTGTATTTGGTGGGATCAGAAGGGTGTGATCTATTATAAGCTGCTAAAACCTGGCGAAACCATTACTGGGGACCGTTATCGACAACAACTAGTACAGTTGAACCGAGAATTGAAAGAAAAACGACTAGAATACGCCAAAAGACATGACAAAGTGATTTTCCAGCATGACAACGCTTGGCCACATGTCGCTAAACCTGTGAAGGAAACGCTAGAGCTGCTCAGATGGGATATTCTACCCCACCCGCCATATTCGCCAGACATTGCTCCTTCTGATTTCCACTTGTTTCGATCCATGCAGAATCACCTTTCTGCCTAGCACTTCAGTTCTTTAGAAGATATCAAAAAATGGCTCGATTCATGGATAACCACAAAAGACAAGTCGTTCTTCCGTCGAGGAATTCGCCTTTTATTAGAAAGGTAGGAAAAAGTTGTAGCTAACGATAGACAATACTTTGAATAACATGTACTTATCACTTTGTTTCGAAATAAACGTTCATTTTCACAAAAAATCCTTTAAAATTAAGTTTAATACCCAATAGATTCCTTGTAGTCTATACGAGATATATCGTTTCTTCCGAAGACGCTCAATCATATCCTACCCTGTACAACTTTTCTTAATCAATCAACCTCGCTATATAAATGATTTAACGGATATCTAACTGTCGTCCAGGAATTGTCACCGACAAGATATTAATGCTAATGGCAAGATGCTCGGGCGTCTCCTTTTTCAAGAGGAAGAAGAAAGTAAAAAATGTTGAATTCGATAATATCAGCTCTACATCAATCAAAGACACGTCGACGTTACGATGAGTTGACTCTTCGATATAATTCATCAAATCGCGATCTGGCACCGGGCGGGGAATCGACGGACAAATTTTACCGTCCAGTGTAATCGCTCAAAATGACGCTCATTTCACGACGTTGCACACATCGCTCGCTGCCCGTTAATTTAACCCTTTAACGCCTACTGGTAACTACAATTACCAGAAACGGATTTAAGAATCCATAACTTAGTCAAAAAAGGAGATATTTTCGTTTTCTTTGCACCACTATAAAGGTGAATTCTTCTAGAAAATGGTATATAGATTGTATGTAGATTCGGTTTAGTCTGTTTTTAGCTCAGTTTTAATGATAACATATTTTGTCAAATTCCAAATAGGCATATAGGCATAGTTAACATTGTTACTGACATCTAGAGGTGCACTATAAATGAATAGATTAGTATCTGTTATAATTTTATACATTTGGAAGCTTTTTCAGATGCAAAATTAAAAGAATACAGAAATTCAAAATGGCGAATCCAATATGGTGGACACGAAAATCAAGAAATCAAGCTATTGACCTGGTGACTTACAGTTTTTTATGCAGCGAAAAATGAAGGGACGATTGACTATCTAAATGGTAATCTATAAAATATTCTTCTGAAATAGTAAGCTTGACGCTCTGAGTGATAAACTTCATTCACAAATATAGTAAAGTTTCAGCTCAAAAATGTCAAGCTGACTATCAGAGTTATGTCGTATAAATTATCCTTCATTTTTCTCTGTATAGGTTGCTCATTTCGTATAAGCTTTTAGGATCCAACTCATATTTACTAATAAACTAAAAAACGAACGAAAAAAAAATCCAAACTAACGAAACTAACAAACGAAAAGCGGAAATTTCACGTATTCATTTATAAATTTTTTTTTGGTTATCACTATTTACAGTCTCAGTTAAAAAAATATTCAAATTTTATTCTTAAAACACTTATAAAAAAGTCGGGCGTTAAAGGGTCAATAAGGCTTTTTTTCACCTATGTATCCCCTCGACAATTAATATCGACGACCAAGAAGAGATGAAGAAAGATGAGAGAAAGACGGGGGGTATCTTCTGACAGCCGTCGCCGCGGACATATTCAATTCAGCGGAATTCCGGAGCGTACCGCGGAAAAAAGACAGCGACGGGTGAGATCGCCGTCGTGGGTACTGGATGGAAAGTCCCATCAATATTTTCCAATCAGCATTCGATTGCGGTATACCCCAGGAAGGAGGAGGAGGATAGCCTCGTTCCTACCGATAAAGGGGATGACGGAGAAGGACAACGCGAAGCTCTCGCAGAGGGGTCGATGCGTGGGCGTATATGGTAGCGGTATGCGCGGCATAGTCCGCATAGCGTCGCGACGCCCTGACGCCATATTGCATTATTAAGCACCCCCCTCCTTGGCTGCTCCCGCATTCCAACATTATGAACGTTTTTATCCTTAAAAGGCGCCGGAGCCTGTGAACGAAAGGACCAGCTTCCCGCCGGATCTGCGTTGACCCGCGCAGATCGCCGTTCACTCGCTCGATCAACTCTGTCCGGGGTTCGTTAGCTCCCGTGACGGACGCGTGAAGGAGCTGCAAGTCACCCCTTGAGCGTCACGTTGTGCCTTTCGCTCGGAAATGGTACGACGCGGTGCGCAAAGCGTGCTGGAAGGACGGAGAACGAGAAAATGCCACGTGGCACGATACGGAAATGTGGATGGATTGACGGATATGAGCGTTTGTGTAAAATGTTCCAAGACAAGAGTTTCTAAAAGCATGAATATACGAAAAAACAGAAATAAAAAGAAGTATAAAAATAATATAAAGATATAATAAAATATGCAAAAATGCAATGGACGGGAAGGACTGTCGTATATTTACGAAGATTTTTTTTAGATACTACTA